CGGGAGATTGATTTTGATTGAAACAATCAATCAATCAATCTCGAACAGGAAATTTGAACTACACCTTCACATGAACTTGAGTGAGAAACAGGATGCTTCCCTATTACACTCAGATGGTGCTGGGAAAATGTACTCACATCTTTGGCCTGCTTTCCAGAACATGTTCTGGCAAAGTTTTGGCCATTAATCATGTTCTGTTGTCACCAAACAATAGCTCCGAAACTGTTGTGATCTTGTAGGTTGTAACCTTTGGAGCTTTTGAAAGGAACTTTTCCTCCCTTTGTGTGGAAAGCCTTGGCATATTGCGGGAGAAGAGGAGTAGCAAGACAGAGAGAGAGTTTGTCGCTGTCAGAATAAGCCATTGTGCGTCAAGAAAACCAAACGAATTCACTTGAGTGGGTGATATTGTGTAAGACTCGCGATCTGCCCTTCGAAGAATGTTCTGTGCGCAGACAACCCACAGAAAATCCCAACTAGCCTGTAATGGTAATACTGTACACGATATAGATGACGTCGGAGAAGTCGGCACTTGACTTGACATTTGAATGACTTAAAAAAAAAAAAAAGTGACAAATAAACCTGAAGGGACATTTAATTATCTTCTTGTGCATTTGAATTGGAAAAAAAAAAGCCTTGACATTCAATTGCCTAATTTTGTCTGCCGGCGTGACATTTTCCTCAGCTGAAAAACACTTTTGAAGATTTTGCCGATCCAAATAGGGAGCCAATGAATGTCGAGGAGATGTGTTGGAGTCCATCCAGGATCTTGAGGTGCACCCCCCAGACAGAATTTAGTTTTATTTTGCTTCACTTCTACATTGCCAAAAATGAGCGAGGCGCACACTGGCCCTTGGGTACAAAAGGCAATTTGGCAAATTGCTCCTTTCTTAAAAGTTCGACTTGCAATTCGGATGTCAAACTAACTGGTCAGCAAAGCCAAACTTTCAGTTTTTCTCAAAGCATCTGATCTGGTCTTACTTTCAAATTCACCACAGCAGCATGACTGGAAGTGTTAAAAGTTAAAAAGTAGATTATGTGTAATTATGGAACGAGTTGCTGTTCATAAGAACAAACATAAAATATCATGGGTGGTGTGTGTGTGTGTGGGGGGGGGCAGGGGGGGGGGGAATCATTTAAAATAAAACATTCAAGGAGCACTCCCTTCAATTAGCATTTTGTGTCAGTCGTCTTTCCAGGCCCTTCACAGTTGTATGATCGGAAACAATTAGCGAAGAAAAAAAAAATTTTTTTTTTTAAGATTCAAGGATGACTTTGATTCATTTAGAACGGTACCATCCGAAATGATTAAAAGCAGACGTCGTATGTTCATGAACATTTACAGATTACTTTGGCCGGGTTCTGTCATCCGGTGACAGGTTGTAATATTTTACCGTAAAAATGCTTCTTCGCACAAGCAGACGTGAGTGCAAAACGTGATATTTCAGCATGCCTTTTGTGTGTGTGTGTCTGCGTGTCTGTGTGTGTGCGTGTGTGTGTGTGTGTGTGTGTGTGTGTGTGTGTGTGTGTGTGTGTGTGTGTGTGTGTGTGTGCGTGTGTGTATCGCCCACAGTACTTATTTGCCATCCAAATGACCTGAAGGCACGTGTCCAGAGATTTGTCATCAAGTTTCTCTTGTTTGTTTTTCCACTCAGCCAAAGGAGCTTAGTGAGAATGCCAAGCACCTGCTATTGTACATAATACCACTCAGGATGTTTTATCTCACTTTAGTTTATCTATGTTTGTACAATGAGCTGGAAATTTAAAAAAAAAAAAAAAAAGGTTCAAAGGAAAAGGGAAAACGCAAGGCGTTTGTGAACGAGGCACATCAACTAATGTTTTTAAAAAACTGGTAAGCAAGTGTTGTGTGTTTGCTGTTATAACGGAGCCAATGAAGCTAATAAGGTAGTTTGAAGCGAATGAGAAGTGTGACACGATGGCAGGGGTCGGGAACCAATGGCTCGCGAGCCAGATGTGGCTGTTTGATGATTGCATCTGGCTCGCAGATAAAACAAAATATTCTCGCTTGTTTAATCCATCCATGGATTTTTCACTGCTCATTTCCTGTTAAGGGCTGCAGTTGCCAGCAGGAGCAATTTTGATTGGATGATACTGGCGTACGTTGGCCATCGCTCGGTAAACAGTTAAACGCCACCTTTTGAATCAGCTCGCTCGGTCATTATCTGAAATCTAATCCTTCGACGAATAAGATGGCGAAAAGAAAAAAGATGACGAGTAAGGTACACTTCAGGACGAATGGACCGAAGGATTCGCCTTTGTGGAGAGAACAGCTGACTATAATTCCGCTAGCTTTGCTGGATCTTTACCATTAATGGTGAGTATTATCACAAAATGATTTTAAAAGAATACATTCAGAGGCTTATTATACTGACATTTTGTTGAATTCACTTTTAAAATACAGTTCATATATATATATATATGGCACTCACTGAAATCCATTTCCAAATGTTTTGCTTTCATGGCTCTCTTAGTCAAAAAGGTTCTCTCTCTCTCTCTCTCTCTCTCTCTCAATGGCATCCGATATTTTTTCACAGGTCAGTGGGGAATGGTTGTTTTGGGCTCACGGCGCGGCCGGATCTCCACCTTGTGGCTTGGACCCCATCTTGCAGTACGTGGCAGACACGCTCGAGCGAGCACGACCTGCGCACACACCCTGCGGCCCACACACACACAGGTTCCCCAGCAAGTAATGTGGAAATAGTGAAAAGGTGATTTTCATGTGCTCTGAATGTTTTCTTCAAACAGGCTTACCAAAATCAAGAAGAAGAGGCTGAGTGAGCCATAAGAGGGTGAAAGGAGGAAGAGAATGTCCTGTGTGGAGAGTTACAAGCTGGGGGGTCACGAGGTCACGAGTGAAACCTGACATCAGTGTTCAAGTATGCAAAGCCAAAAAAAAAAAAACGTGTTGAAACACCAACGCGATAATGGCGGGAAAATATTGAGGGTCACAGCAGACTTCAAGTCAGTGTGTATTTAATCCTCTCAGGCCACAGCGGTTACTACAATGGACAGTTTATCGTGTTATCAGGTTAAAGGGAGCATGAAAGGGACACTAAAAGTCTCTGCTAAGAGATAAGAGGAGACGCTCACCACTTTCTGTCACATCTTGATCAAGTCTGGCAAGTCTTTTCGGAAGCATGCGAGTGATGAATGTTACGTATTTCAGTGTTTCCACCATGTTTGCCACAGTAGGCTTGGGAATAGTAAATCCCAATCTGGTTTGCATTTCCCCAGCGGTGTGGATCAGCAGGATGAGGAGAGCCGCCTCGACTGCGTAAATAGTCTTGCGTCACACCACTGTAGCCCACCGGTGACTCAACAGAGAGAAAAAAAAAAACAAGACAAGGAAAACAAAGAAATGACTCCCAGCTTTTAAATTTAGACGCTTATCTGCTATTTATTGTGGGCAGCAGTTCCACTCGATAAGGACTATTTTTTGAGGGGGCTGGGGGGTGTACAGTTTCGACGATTCAAACCACACTACAGATTAGATCAAACTAAACATGCGAGGGTAGCAGGTTGCCCCAACGACGACATGAGTAGCTCAGGGGGGCCTGTTCTAAAAATAGCTCGCCAGTGATTGGCCAAAGTGACTTCCTGTGATTGGTGTAAAAGTGAGCAGTTGAAAATGTCCACTTGCGGAGTTACAGTAGAAAATGTTTGCATATTGATTTTTTTTTTTAACCTTAAGAAATCATTGGTGATAATTCATTAACATGATCAAACTATCCCCACAGATAAAATATTGATTGTTAACAATTGCATATAATTAAAGGTCAGTTGAGAATCGATATTTCAGAAGTGCGCATCCAACTGCTAGTGCTTCTTTTTAATCAATACCCTCTCAATTTCAAAGTCACCTTTTCGTCAAATTATTATTCTCCGAACATTGTTAGGGCTGGTTATTCCGGAGTATGTCGTATAAGATAACACAAAAAGGTAAAGAAAAGGGGAAAAAAAAAAATTGGTGGTCAGGGTTAACTCCAGAGTTAATCCTTTGCCGCTCACTGAAGTGTGGTCTCGCAAGGTATGCCGAGTTCACGCGTGGTGTGCTGCACGTCTCATGTACTGTAAGTCGGCGATTAAAATTCCAACATTTTAGAGGCATATTATTTAAAAAAAAAAAATAAAAATGGGGGTCAAATTACATCCTGTATGACCTCAGTGGAATACAATTTTAGTTTTAGTCCCACTCTACAAATAAGTGCTTACAATTTGACTCTCGTTGAAAGTTGCAAGTTTGTGTCCTCTAGTAACATTCTTATTAAACAAAGCATTAGCAAATGGATTTATGTTGATTTATTTTCATTGGGACAGTGCACATTAATCAACACAAGAATAAACTGTGTAAATGCGCCGGACTTAGCCTAAATGCTAGTTTTCAGCCGTAGTCCCAAGGCAGCCGAGTTGACTTTTTGTGGGGGGGGGAAAAATGCGTGGAATGATTTTTGCACTTGATGTGGATTTGCTGTTCCGCAGTTTTGTGCCGTTCATGAATGGTCATTTTTTCTGCAAGAGAGCCCTTTTCACTGACATTTTTTTTTAATCACCACATGTGGCAGTCTTTTGTTTGCTTCAAACTCTTTGTTGCTGAATAGTGGCTCTTTTGTTCTTGCATGGAGATATGAAAACGTAAACACATTAAGAGCACGTAATTTGCATGTATGCACATATGCACATGTTTTGTCCATTTTTAAAATGGCATTTTTGTCAAACATCAGGAAGACCATATGCCCCCCCCCCCCACCAATGAAAAATTGTTACCCTCACATTAAACTACTACTCTATTTTGTAAGTAATTTAGGAAAAGATCTGAAAACTTAAAGACGCTGCACATAATGTGCAGTCACTAGGTGTAGCCCCCCCCCCCAGTTATTTGGGAACATGTCATTTCAAGTTTTGCCCTGCCGGGTCTTCGCCTCCTAATGATATGCTTCAAGCCGTTTGGGAGCCACATGAGCATGACTAAAGGAGGAGGAAGAGAAGAAAAAAAATGTCCAACCCCTCAGAAGATTTCCTGTTTCATGAAAAGTGCTCGTACAGTGAGTCATATAGGGTACGTCCTGCCCAGTTGTGTTTACTCTCTCACAGCAGCTGAGGTGGGGGAGAGCAACAAGCGGACCGAAGAAAGTTCGCTCGAGTCTGGATATTAACTCCCTCGTCAAAGCTTCGGCTAATTAATGAGAAAGAGAGGGGGACATTGTCCGTTTCTTCATGGAGCTACTTCGCTTTTCCGCTTTCTGGTGTGGAGCGATACTCTGTGGTAGTATTGTGCTCGAGCGGGCGGGTGAGTTTGACTTACTGTCAAGAAGTGTAGTTTGTTTTTTGGGTTGTTTTTTTTTACGGCCGCCAAAGTTAATTCGCCGATACTTTACTGTCGTTTATCTCTTTTGGAAAAGCCAAACGTTGACTTTTTCACTCCCACCCCACAGGTGTTTGACGTGCCGTCTTATTGTTTTCACCCCGAATGGCGTTCAAGACGACTTGGGGGGTGGCGTCTTTTGTTCCGTTTACTTTATAGAAGTTTTTCGTGTCTTTTAAAAGTAACGATATAAGTTCTACGGGGCGGACCCGTACACTGATATGTCCATCTTTGGTGCGTTGGCCGCGTTCCTTACAGGTCGAGTAAGCCCCCGCTGAGGGAAGACAGTCTTGTGCATTCATCTGTCTCACGCTCTCATTCCCGGCGGCTCCTCGTAGCCCGCCTCTCCCCTCTCCCTGCAATTAGACGTATCCCCGGGTGACAATTACAACCACTCGGCCTCTCCAAAGCCACCCCGCGGTGTTGAAATGACACGGTCTTTTTTTTTTTTTTTTCTTGAAAGGGGTTGCGCTAATTATACAATTATCTAACCCCAGTACCCAGGCATGAACCCCCCCCCCCCCTTAACCACAACTCGAAAACGCCGCCCAATCCCACCGGAATTACTGTCAAACGGCTAGCTCGTGGAATTGCTGTCAAAAAAAGTTAGTTCCGGAGGGCGAAAAGTTTAATAGTGTGTCAACACAAGAGGACTTAAAGCAGCAAGATCTTGCTTCGTCCCTTTTGTGTGTGTGCATCTGTCTTCGAGAAGCCAGGAAGAGGATGCAGGCAGGGCTCTCTTCTCTCTCGCTGCAGGTTGCACAGTATTTCTGCAGCAGCAAGCCGCAGGGTTAACTCCACCCTGAATACCGACAAAGAGTGCTTTTGTGGCACACACACACACACACACACACACACACACACACACACACACACACTACCTTTCCCTCCTGCCAGTTGTGAAGTCAGGCATGTCCAAACAGACATCGAGCTTCTTCCCAGCAAGGGGCTTCTTTCACCATCTTAGCTCAAGATATACAGCATTTCAAGACGGTCCAATAATAATAGTGCACTGATGATGAGGTGCATGTTAAAAATGTATTATAGCCCATTAAAAAAGGAGGACAGTGAACCCCTATTTTTTTTTGAGATATTTTCCAGACCAACAAGCGCTAAGTATAACTCTTTCTATAGGTCGGCTTAAAACATTGAATTTTTTTCCCCCCCCCCCCCCACCAAATGCTTAAAGCATACTTGTCAAACTCATGAAAACATTGTTTAAAGTATCCCTTACTGCCCTTCTCATGCTCTGTCAAAAAAAAAAAAACATTAAAAAAAGAGAGACTATCACATAACGTCACTTTGAGGCAACAGGAAAAAAATGTCACCATTTGTCACTCCCAGTTGAGCAAAGCAAGAGTTTGACATTGTATTTCAACACCAAAATGATCAAACAAACCATGTCATTTCAGCGAATTAGTCTGCTAACATGAGGCCCTAATGAAAAATCAGACAATGGAAATTTGAGTCGGCGGTCCTTCTCTGCCTCTTTTTCTTGCTGTTAATTATGCTTCTATTACTTTTCAGTGCTGCCTGGCATTTTATTTCAATGCCTTAGTTCAATTCAATAAATTAAACATAACTGTTTATTATGAATATTCAATACACACCCAGTGGGATATTTAATGATTTTTTTTTCCCTGTGGTGTTGACTATACGGTACAGCTCACAAAAACAAAATCACGTTCATGTAATTACATGAGAAACAATCAAAAATGTTTTTTACACAGAACCGAGGAATTGTCCTTCTAAAGATATTTTCCTATTTGAATCTGTATGGTATGAGTTCCACTTTTGGAATTTGACTCTGTAGACCAGAGTTCACAAATATTTTGTAATTTGGCCAAATTTTAGACTCATGCATAGAGCAGGTTCAATTTCCTGCGGTTGTGCGCCTTGTGATTTTTGCTGTAGCAATACTGTCACATTTTTCCTCATACGCCGCCTTGGAGATGGAGTTACTTAAGAGCACTCTTGATGATTTCCTCACTTCAAGATTCAGTCTGAAGGGGAGTCACATTTGCTCAGATTATTTCATACCTTTTGAAAATGTCTGCTCTTCCTTTAAAGAGTCTTATCAAGTATTTTGTTATCATCTTCCAGTCACTCACCACCATATCGCGTACACTTCAAATCCCAAATCGAGCTTTCAGATGGATAGTTACCACTGTCCGTATTTATTTGGACCGGTATATTGACAGCCCGAGGTGGCCCAACATATTTTCACTCGACTGACTGACTGACTGCTTTTTTTTTTTACTTTCTGAGCTGGTATGCATGACGAATGAGGGGATGCATCCATGTCTGCTTTGTTCTTGGCTGTCTCGGATTTGTCTCCACGATAATGATCGAACCCTCAGGCGCTCCGCCGCAATCGTGTCTGTCGGCTGGTAAAGTCAAGTCAGAACAAGAGCCGAGGCGGTGGAGGCTAAGATTGGATTTAAAAAAAAAAAAAAAGCGTTCCTTTTCCTTTACACGGTGTCATTTTAACTCAATTATTATTTTTAATTTTTTCTTCAAACCTTTGTCTTTTTCTTCCCCAGATTCGTACATCCTCAAGGTGCGAAGACTGTGCAAGTTTTGCGACGTGCAACCGACCAGCTGCGCCGGTCGAGGAAGCTGCAAGGTGGAATGTGACATCACCTCCATCTGCACACATGACGACGACGTGTGTGTCGCTATTTGGTGAGGATCCGCCCGCACTCCTTTTCTCGGAGCGGACGTCAACCAAGACGATGAATATGACAACGCGAAATCATCAATCGCCGTCACCTCGGCGGTACTTTTTTGACATTGATTGTTTGTCTGCTCACAAGGAGGAAGAAAGACGACAACGTCACATTTGACACCGTCTGCCACAACCCGGCCCACAAACTGTACGGCCTGGTCCTGGACGACTACAACAACAGCAAGTGCGAGATGAAAGAAAGGAAGGGCATGGGCTCGTCGTTCTTCATGTGCTCCTGCTCTGAGGACGAGTGCAACGAACGGATCATCTTTAACTCCCGTAAGTTGGAGAATCCCATCCACCCGAGCCTACTATGTGATGAAATCAAGGTTTTAAGGCAGTCCCGGTCAGGTACAGTAACAGGTTTGTTGGGAGGAATGGCTTCTCCCCCGCTGAAAATCCAAACAAGCCATCTGGGGGCCATGTTGAGGATTTCAGACATGTGGTTTCCTGTTTTGAAAAAAAAAAAAAAGAGAGCGCGAAGCAGGGAGCTTGGCGAGGCAAGCGACGAGATGCCCTCCCCAATACTTCCTCCTCCCCTTATTGACACAGCTTCTGCGCCTCACAGCAACACTGGCTTCTCAACTCAAATTCACCACTTTGGGTTTGCACAAAAATTGAAGTTTCTGCGCGTGTCTGGAGCTATCTTGTTTTTTTTTTTTGTTTTTTTTTAAGTGTCTTATTTAGCAACTGCACCATAAAAAGGGCACAATTACAAAGGTTCCCCTTTTTCTTGTTTGTTTGTTTTTTTTTAGCTCAGCTCCCCAGACGCGAGACTTTCCAAATTTGAAGCCTCAGACATAAACTATGAAGAGATACAATATGTGGTTGGCTGGGTCATGGTTTGGAGCACTTTGCCTCTGCGGTGTCAACACTAACTTTAGCTCCCTGAGACATCAGACATTCCTCAGGGACGGCTCACGTTCCGCCTTTCTTATTGGCAGCTCGTAATGATGCCTTGGATTCCGTCTTATCAGGAAAGGGTTTTTGTCATGGAGCATCCTTCTTGTGAAGACATTTTTCGAGTCAGAGACGACACTCCAGTCTAAAAAAAAAAAAAAACATCTAGAACACGAGAGAATTGACATAAACTTTGAATATACAAAGGTCCACTTCATGTCGTACCTGCTGCTTTGTCTTTACCCCGTTTTTTTATTCTCATGTGACTTTGGGAGCATCTTTCTTTTTTTTTTTTTTTTTTTGTTGTTGGGGGTTTTTTTGGACACCAATTACACCAGCACCACAGCGGACCCTCAAAATGGGATCACAGTCCTTTCTCAAAGATTGTTCAAACTTTTGTTTGCTTGAATTTGAATAACATTTCTCCCGTAAGTCATGCAAACTTCTACCGTCATTAAAAGAAAAAAAAGAAATACTGTTTACAAATGTAATTTAATACCAGTGCGACATACTGCAGCGTTTTGAATGTTGTCTTGGCTGAAGCATTTTTGCATTCACAGTTACGGGATCAATTTAAAAATAGAAATACATTTCTCGAGCCTTCTTGGGTTCATCTTGTGCTTATTATTATTTTTATATATATTTTTTTCTGTGTGTGTCTCAGACATGGACTCCCAGGTGGCCGTCATCCTAGTGAGCCTGGTTCCCCTTCTGGTCATGGCGATCGTGGTCATTACTTCGTTCTACTGTTATCGAGTATACCGCCAGCGCAGGGCGAACGCCAAGCGCAAAAAAGGCACCCCTCTGGACTTCAGCGACGCTCACGCCATCATGGGGGACGACGAAGGCTCCGACAGCAGCTCCACGCACGCCAACAACCTCAACCACAATACGGAGCTGTTGCCAATCGAGCTGGACATCCAGGTGGGCAAAGGTCGCTTTGCCGAAGTTTACAAAGCCAAACTCAAGCAGGGCTCCTCCGTCAGCGACGAGCAGGGTTTCGAGACCGTGGCGGTCAAGATTTTCTCCTACGAGGAGTACGCGTCCTGGAAGAACGAGAAGGACATTTTCTCGGACGCCGACCTGAGGCACGAAAACGTGCTCCACTTCCTGACGGCCGAGGAGAGGAAAATACAGAGACAGTACTGGCTGATCACCGCGTACCAGCCGAGGGGCAACCTCCAAGATTACTTGACCCACCATATTGTCAGCTGGCACGACTTGTGGTTGCTGGGAGGCTCGCTCGCCAGCGGGTTGGCTCACCTGCACAGTGACCACACGCCGTGCGGCCGCTACAAAGTGCCGATTGCGCACAGGGACATTAAGAGCTCCAACATACTCGTGAAGGGTGACCTGACCTGCTGCCTGTGTGACTTTGGCCTCGCGCTCCGGCTGGACAATTCCCTCTCTGTGGACGAGTTAGCAAACAGTGGACAGGTAAACCTTTTCCTTTTTCTTGTTTGCCACTTTGGCCGCCTGATCGTCTTCATCACATCGATGGTTTCTGCGATTTGAAATCGGTTGAATGACTTTTCTTCCGTTTGTGGTTCCGGTGATGGTTACAAGATTCAAAAGAAAAAGAAGCAAATTGAGAAGGTTTTGGATCCACAAGGAGTTACAGAGGAAGGTGTTTTTCTCTGTGGAATAGTGACAGCGACAGTTTATTGATAACTTGGAGTCGTTATCTGGACAAGCTAGCGAGCTAATTTACAGCCCCAAAAAGCTGAGTGCGGACAAGCTAGCGAGCTAATTTACAGCCCCGAACAGCTGAGTGCGCTTTATGAGGAAATTCGCTTCCTTCAAAAGGTGAAAGAAGACAAATTGCTGTCAGGCAACATGCCGTTGGCTCATCCTCGTTCTTGCGAGAGAAAATATGCTACGGAAGACGACAATATCTTCTGTTTTACACGCCGCCTGACGTCAACGTCCATCTCGGCAACTTCATTTCAATCGATGTCGGTCAAATTCGAACAAAGCTCTTGTATTTCCACAAAGCTTGGGAATATTCATATTTTGAACACGTTTCTTATTGTCTTTCGCCCTCAGGTGGGGACCGCCAGGTACATGGCGCCGGAGGTGCTGGAGTCCAGGATCAACCTGGAAAACATCGAGTCCTTTAAACAGGCCGACGTGTATTCCATGGCGCTCGTCCTGTGGGAGATGATTTCCAGGTGCAGCGCTATCGGAGGTAAGCTGTCAACCAGACGCCGATGACAAGCTCGCGCCCTGTCAAAGCAAATCAATTTCCGATTGAACATATACGGGATCAATGTGAACGTCGTGACGTGAGAGCAAAACCAGATCCTTTGTGGCGGTCTCGAGGCTTAAAACTTGATGCTGCCCCTTTCTGTCTGTTTGTCGTCCAGTTGCAAAAACAAGGTCAGGATACGTGCAAATAATAGAAATGGACGATTATCGCCGAGCAAGCCGTACGGCACTATTTCTTGCCGGCCCTCAGTTTTTTGTTTTCACTTCCCCCTTCGAAATCTCTGCGGGCCCGTGACCGCCCCCTGGCTCCGTTGAAAGTGATTGAAAACTGGTTTGGGCATGAAGTGTCTCCTTGACTTCTTTTCCTGTTTTGCCCCCCCGCCACCACACCCCACACACACTCACATTCCCCCACGGGGGTTCTTGAAGTGTGTTGCACAAGTCGCGTAACCCAACAGGCCAAAGTGGCCCACAATCCCACTTGGGGTTTTTTTTTTTGTTTTGTTTTGTTTTTTTCTTCCCAAGTACAAGAATATGTGCGCTCTGCGGGTAGACTGTGAAAATAAAATCGGCCATTTCCTGTTTTTGCATAAGCACAGGGCCCAAGACTGACTGTTTTTTTGTGTCGACTTAACGACCCTGTAAGTATAGACGTCTTTATTTGCGGATGCCTTGTCTCTCTGCAAGAAGTCCAGACAGAATTCTTGCCTGTCGTGACTGACCAGATGCTCGTGGCTATATTAAAAAAAAAAAAAAAAAATCTCCCCGCAAGCGTGAGTTTGACTCGCCACTCACTCACTTGACATCTCCTCTTCCCATCCATATCATGTATTTCTGACTCCCTGACTAACTCTTCCGTTGCGCGGCATTTAGGACTTGCAGTTATAGGGAAGCCGCATTATTTCCGTACACCACACGTCAGTCCGTGCTCCTAAACTTGACAGCTTCTCTATATTTCCTCGCGTATCTTTGCACATCGTCTCTCAAGTACTTCCTACCCCGAGGCAGGTGATGCCGCGGTTCATGACCCCCACACCCCCCACCCCACCCCCACCCGACTGCAATGGAAACACTCTCGAGAGCTTTACTCATGCCAACGCGGGCTGACAAGGAGGACGAGACAATGGTTTTTCCAACGGGATGGAAAGCAGAACCAGAATGATTGAGGGCAGACTCGGCCAGCATTTTAAATTTTTTTTTTTTTTTTTTTTTATAAATACACTCCACACACATACACAACTGGCCATTAACACCTCCAGGTCATGAAAACGGAAGAGAATCAAAGTTGCCGCGAGCTGCCAGTGTGTTTCGAGCTGACTCTTTGCAAGATGTTTGAAATGGTTTAAGATCATCATCACCCAAACTTGTCCAGCCTTGTTCTTTTTTTCTTTTCTTTTTTTTTTTGTTCAGCCACGTCAACAAATTGTTTCAATAGCGTAATGAATAAGGGGGTGAGTCACACGACTTGTAGGGAAGATGGTGTTTGCTGATACCTTCTGTACGTGTTGCTCTCAGGAAAAAAAAACGAATAATCAAGTCGGGAGTTTATGATGACATGAGAAGCTATCCGCTGCAGTGGCCGCTGTCCCTGGAAGGGTTTAAGTTAAGAGTTTGTGGAAGGAATTTCCAATTCATGACAGCGATTTAGTATTTGTTCAGGAATTAGTATCACACCTTTGACAAGGCTAGCTAGAAAACAGTAAACATCAGTGAGTCCCTCACATTTGCTCCAGCAGTCAAAACGCGCGTCCGCAGGCGTGCGCATCCCTCAATTTTTTTTAACGACGGAAGTTCTTTCTGCGTAGCGCCTGCGTCCGATGCCGCCTGCCCGTGTTGTGTCTCTGGGCGACAGATGTCGGATCAGCTCCCCGAGTCTCGGTGACAGGCGGCCACATGGCCATTCTGTCCCAGCTCGTGCGCCTTCTTAACTGTGATCTGAGATCTGCCAGGCGCGAAGTACGCAGTTGCCCATTTTTTAATTTAAGTTTTTTTTTTTTTAAGTTTAAAAAAAAAAAAAACTGACACTTGGTAGACTAATATAGGCAGACTGCAAAAGTCTTCCGACATTCTTCCGAACAACCCTTTTTTGTGACTGGCCCTTCTTTTGTATTAAATGTTGCCCAACAGCAAAGTGCACACACCCAGAGTCAATGCCTTCGTGGTCACTGAATGAAGTCTTGCATGACATCACTCATGATATCACACGCGAGGGATTTTTCAGTTGTCACTTACAGGCGTAGTCATCCCGAAATAATTGCGTTCCGAATCTCAGGGGCATTCAGATTTTAAGGTTTCCACTGACGCTGTGTTTGAAAAGGACTCCGGGAAATGACAGCTTTTCCCCGAAAAAAATCTGCCATTGGTATTATTAAATGTGATGATGTCGAGATAGCCTTTCAGCGCTGTTTTTATTTGTTCATTTTGCAGGTAATCTACTCGAAATCGCAGCGTTCAACTCTCGGTATAAAACACGCGGCGGCCATTTTGAACAGCCAATTCCGTGTCGGTAGTTAGCCACTCGTTTAGTCTCCCGTCAGCTGAAAACAATATAATGTGTCACTATTGACTTATTGATCTTGTTGTTGATCAAGGAATGTTTCTTGTGAGACATTTTTGTGTTTATTTTTCCTCCCAACGGTTGAAATGAAATATCCGCCGCGTTAGAAGGGATCCAGCATGACGGAACGCTCCTCCAAGAGACAGAAATGCTAACGTGGAGGCCTTTTTATTTCCTACAAAATATCTCCCGTATAATTTAGCTGGTACGGATTTAGGGCTTGGAAAGCCTCCGAAGGCGTTCCTCCCACGGGTGGGGCCTGGAAGGGGATCGTGGTGGAGCGCGAGTTGAGCATGAGGCGGTAGACAGAAATGCCTCGAGTCCCTGGGCCAGACTGGAGTTGAGGAGGAGAGGTTCAGGGCAGCTGCTCTCCAGATGTCAAATCATCAGCGCTGTCAGTGCTAGAGGGCGTGGCGGCCCTTTTTTTTTTTAATTAAATTTTATTTTTTTTAATGTGTGTGAGAAGTGGGGGTGGCAAGGTTTAGCGCTCGTGTCAGTTTAAGTTCGGCTAGGTTGATACCAAACGTGGAAAAGCTCCGTTGATGACGTATATTTACATATTATTCGTTAAATGGCTGCGAAGGATACAAAACGAGCATCCCAACCGCTCCGGTTTCATAATGAAAGGCAGCAGTGGACGGGAGTGGATTAGTGGATGACTCACACAGACTTTGGGGAAACGGGCAGTGTTGTCGTGATCCCTTTTACGAGGTCCGCCTTGTACCGTATCAGTCACCACTTTGGCTCGTCTAGAAAATCAACGAAGACGGTGAAATAAATGCGAACGGCGCTGTAAAGATTTCACATGCTCTACGTGCGGTTTGTTTTCGCGTGCCGCTGCCAACGAAGCACTTCGCTACGTGTGGTCAGACAATAATCGCTACGAGATAACGAGGCGACGGGGGAATCTACAGACCGTGCGAATATGGTATACTCTAAAATGCAGCACGTGTTTGTTCTCTCAACGGTTTTATCAATAAAACAATTCGCCTGCATGTTCTTCCTTCAGCTGCAGTGGTTATAGCGAGATTTATCGGCACGTTCCGAGGCGCCCCCCATCCCCACCTTCCATTTTTTTTTTTTTTTTTTTTTACATACAAACACTGTTGTCATTTACTTGACAAGTTTGACTGCATTTCCTTGATTGTCTTTCAGAAAAATTACTGACCCATATATTAATCAAAGTTGAAGTCAAATGTCTTTGAGGCAAGATGCGCGCTGGTCATAATCAGGCGGCCATGTTTGCAACTCAACAATCAATTACTGTATCCAGATTCAAATGGAAAAGTCAAATGAGAATGCACAGTGCGGAATGTTCCCGTTTTTCCATTTAAAGACTGAAAAGGGTTGTCGGGACAGCGGCTACTACAGTGGACAGCTTAGCATGTTCTCAGGTTGGAAGCGTGCATGAAAGGGTTCACTTCTCCTGGGAAAGCGTCGATCAAAACTGAGGTTATCTTTTGGAAGGGGCGAATAGTTGATACGGCTCTTGGATTAGATTTTTAGAATTGTGGTCGTGATTTTGTGCCTCTTTACCAAGTGGCAGAAAAAAAAAGCTTTTTTTTTTTAATTTTATTTTTTTAAATCATGCATTTTTTGTTGCTGTTGTTGTCTTTCAAACAGAGGTAAAAGAGTATGAGCCTCCCTTTGGAAATTTAAGGGAGCACCCTTGTGTAGAGAGCATGAAGGACAGCGTGCTCCGAGACAGAGGAAGACCTGAGATTCCCAACAGCTGGATCAACCACACAGTAAGAGGCAACGCCCGCACGCTCTCACACACACACACACACACACACACACGTCAAAATTGAATTTGTAGGACATTCAAATTGGCAACCGCAATCACGCGTCATGTTTGATCAGTCGAGGGGTCCGGTGCCTCATAAAACATATTCTCCTTGACAAGAAGTACCATTGACAGAGCGGATTGCAGTTTGGGGGCTTTTCCCCGCCGTTTCATTCAGACGTGGCCGCATACCACAGGACTACTACTGTAAGATTAGCCGCCTTCCAGTTGGTGTGGGCGGATAGGAATTGCAGCGAGAGCCGCCAGACAAGGAGGAGGGAGGGGAAAGTTGGTATGTGAAGGGAGCAACAGATGGCGCGACCCGGGACATTTCGATGAAGGATTGTGTCTTCTGGCCGGATATTGAAGTGTTAGCAGTCAGGTCTGTATCCATATTACTTACGGTGGTTTCCCTGCCCATTGTGATTGTTGACATTCCTCCCGTGGCGAATGTTTCACAGGCTACTGATGCAATAAACAGCGCTGATACAGACACTGCATCTAAAAGCCCTTCCCTAAAATACCGCAACTGTGTTTAACGTTTCTTATGTACCTGTGGCTGACAGGCGACGCACAGATCGTCTTTCTGCCGCCGAAAGAGAGTCGCGTGTGGTCAATGAATGGGGGCTGTTATAGCCGGCAGCCTCTAAAATAGCCACAGTCTGTGTAACTTGTATTAATTTATTTCTTGTATATAATTAAAAACTTGAATCATTAGCTAATTTATTTTTGTATTCCAACCTTCATTTCAAGTGTAAAAATAAGTCAACAACTAAACCTTTCAACAATCTGGAACTAATGTTGAATGATAAGAGTGGAAGAAAAACATCGTTTGACAATGCAATAAAAATAAATAAATAAATGTATTTTTATACATTTATTTATCGTTTGACAATGCAATAAAAATACATAAATAAATGTATTTTTATACATATCTGTATATATGTTTTTCTTCCACTCTGTCATTGAACATTAGTTCCAGATTGTTGAACGGTTTTGTTGTTGACTTATTTTTACACTTGAAATGAAGCTTAGAATACAAAAATAAATCAGCCGACGATTCAAGCTTTTAATTTTGATGTGATTGTGGAACAACATTGCAGTATTTACGATGATTTCCTGTAGGATTCTTTATTTATTTATTTATGGTTTGATTGATTTACTTATGAAGTCACCCAACCACCGGGGACTGACTGCATGATTGCTCAATTCCGCCCCCTGCAGGGCATCCAGTTGGTTTGTTCCTCCATCGACGACTGCTGGGACCACGACCCGGAAGCCCGCCTGACAGCGCAGTGCGTGGCCGAGCGCTTCGAAGACATGGAGTACTTGGACAAGCTGTCCGACTGCTCCGACTCGGAGGAGAAGATCCCCGAAGAAATCATTGTGGTGGATGAGAAGTAGGGCTCCAAACACCCGCCGCCCCCTCCCTCACCGTCTTGGGTGACTTGAGAGCAAACTGGAAACATCTGAGGTTAACTCCAAACACGGATGGACATTTTGGACCGTTGTCATCTCATCTACACGTACAGTCCCTCGCGGACTGGATCACAAACCAACAGGGATTATCACAAAGATTAAGCTTTTAACCCAAATACTTTTGCACTTTATTGTTTATCGATGCACACTAAAATGGCATATGTTAAAGTGCCGCTTATGTCAGGACAAATCATTTTCAGGCATACCAATTAAAAGGAATATTTAAAAGAAGAGCTTTAGGTTTGAGACATTTTCATATAGCAAGACTGCTAATGACACGAATGTCCCACGCGTTGTTCATTTGTGCGGCCTTAACAGAGCAGTGACGCATGCGTAAAGAATCCAGAGCGCCAATGTGTTAAAAGCCACTTTGAAACCAGAAATCAGCGTCGAAGGACACAAATAAAACAAAGTGTGTGTGTGGGTGTGGGTGTGTGTGTGTGTGTGTGTGTGGGTGTGTACAGTAAATGAGGAAGTCTGCTTAATCATTGCCAGACATTAAAGGGGAATAAGGTATGTGCAGTCTGTAAAAAAGGAAAAAAAATCTAACCTTAAAGTTGCAGCCTGCTGCCTGGAAAAGCCGAACTCTTCTTTTTTTTTTATGTTGTTGGTTTTATTTGTTTGTTTGTTTTTTGGGGTGGGCAGAAAAGGGACTATGCATCCCATGATTAGAAAAAAAAATCTATACCAAAGTCATTTGTTATAGACAGTGTAAAAGTGTTCAGATATAATTTACCAGATAAGCTATTACATTTTTGAGGCTCAGCAGTTACTCCAGTGGACAGCTTCTTGTGTTATCAGGTTACAGGGTGCGTGAAAGGTGGCGTTGAAGTTTTCACGGGTTGGTCAGCTGGTTTGAGCAAGCCAGTGAAAGATGGACTGTATTCGGTATATGTTATATAAGCAATGACGAAAGTATGCCGCTTTGCCTTTTCATGTTGTATCAGTACCGATACTTAAACTCTGAAAGCAACGTGTTTCAGCTTGGAAAATTCACGTCCTTCCGTTCTTTTTTTTTTCTTTTGTTTTTCCACCCTTTGCTCAATTTTAGCAGGAGTTCTACTTGTTTACATTTTTTTTCCCTCCGCCATCAGTTGGTCCTAGGCTGGTCTCGTTGTACCCCCAACCCCCCGCCCCCTGTTTAGATATTTTGGCAGGATCCTTAACAGAGCAGTGACGCATGCGTAAAGAATCCAGAGCGCCAATGTGTTAAAAGCCACTTTGAAACCAGAAATCATCCTCGAAGGACGCAAATAAAACAAAGTGTGGGTGTGTGGGTGTGTGTGTGTGTGTGTTGTACAGTAAATGAGGAAGTCTGCTTAATCATTGCCAGACATTAAAGGGGAATAAGGTATGTGCAGTCTGTAAAAAAGGAAAAAAAATCTAACCTTAAAGTTGCAGCCTGCTGCCTGGAAAAGCCGAACTCTTTTTTTTTTTTTATGTTGTTGGTTTTATTTGTTTCTTTGTTTGTTTGTTGTTGTTTTTGGGGGGGGGGCAGAAAAGGGACTATGCATCCCATGATTAGAAACTTTTTTTTTTATGTTGTTGGTTTTATTTGTTTGTTTGTTTTTTGGGGTGGGCAGAAAAGGGACTATGCATCCCATGATTAGAAAAAAAAATCTATACCAAAGTCCTTTGTTATAGACAGTGTAAAAGTGTTCAGATATAATTTACCAGATAAGCTATTACATTTTTGAGGCTCAGCAGTTACTCCAGTGGACAGCTTCTTGTGTTATCAGGTTACAGGGTGCGTGAAAGGTGGCGTTGAAGTTTTCACGGGTTGGTCAGCTGGTTTGAGCAAGCCAGTGAAAGATGGACTGTATTCGGTATATGTTATATAAGCAATGACGAAAGTATGCCGCTTTGCCTTTTCATGTTGTATCAGTACCGATACTTAAACTCTGAAAGCAACGTGTTTCAGCTTGGAAAATTCACGTCCTTCCGTTCTTTTTTTTTTCTTTTGTTTTTCCACCCTTTGCTCAATTTTAGCAGGAGTTCTCCTTGTTTACATTTTTTTTTCCCTCCGCCATCAGTTGGTCCTGGGCTGGTCTCGTTGTCCCCCCAACCCCCGCCCCCTGTTTAGATATTTTGGCAGGATCTGGGCCACAGACATGGGAACGAAAGCCAAAGATTTTCTCATCACTCATTTCTGTATATTTATCATATTCCGGATTAAATTTTGTAATCGATTCCCCATCTCTTGAGTCCTTCCTGTAGATTGAAAAAGTTTCCCAGCATTTTTTCTGAATGGGAGCAAAACGTAACGTTCCAGACGTCACAGTTGGTCAGAATTATGTCACCCGATCAATAAACACCATTGAGCCTGTTCCATGATGTGGTATACTTTGGATCACAAGCTAGCCTCTCCTGCTCCCTCACTCTTCCCCAGCTTGTTCTTTTCCTCCCAGGCAACACTTTGCAGCACACTTCTTTGGATTGATCTCCCGTTGTGGATTCAGCCTACCTCTGACCCTCCTCCCTCTGTTTGCGGTGTGAGTTTCCTTGTGGTGCGAGCAATGGATTGCAAGCATTAAAAAGTCATTACCGTTGATTACTACGGTCGAATGTTCTGTGCTTGGCTTGAAAACTGAGATCAGGGTTCGGGAACCTGTGTCTGTAGTGGTATAAGTCATCCAAAGGAGATTTTCTGTTCATCATCTGGTAGTTTGCATGGTGTCTATTTATAACCCGTGCCAAGCCACAACAGATCAACTGGACCACCCCCAGGAAGTGCACCCTGATAAAAAATTTAAATCCGGCCTTCCATTATTAATGGGTTGCCAGTTGTGTCACAGCCAGGTAGCAGTTGTTAATAACGCACTCATGTCGTGCAAATCATATACAGTTCATGCTCTTATTTATTGATTCGTCCATCAATTTTCTATCCCCCCTTATTGTAGGGTGAGCTGGAGCACGCAACTTCCACTTGGGAAGGCTGCAACGGAGATTCAAACCAGAATCTCTGAACCGTCAGGCAGATGTGCTGACCACTATTGCATTTTTGCCTCTTTCATTAGACCGGGGAACACGATATTTTTGTTGAGGTAGGCGTACGTTCTCCAAAAGTGTCAAGAATCTCATCCAAGGAATGTAGTGTATGTTTGCCCAGGTGTTAGCATGACCTAATTTTGCATTTTGACTCAATTCATGACGTTAGAAAAGCTATGGGAGTCTGGAACACAGTTTTGACAGCATGAAAGTCGAGCAAACACATGCGAAAGGGAACTAGATCGCTTTTAATCCTCCTCGTACGAGCCCTACGCAAGCTAATAAACGTTTTGTACGCAGAGATTTGGTTTTTGTGCCATGTTAATGGTATTTGTGTTTCATTGAGTTTAAAAAAAAATTCTTTTATTTTTTAGCTTTGTATACTGGAGGATATTTTAGGCTTTTTTTTAATTAGTACTTTTTACACTAGTATGAGTATTTGTTATAATTCGGGCATACTCACTGATTCTACGACTATGTCCAGTTATCATTCACACTGCGTGCTATTTTTCTTCACACCAGAGGGGGGCGATGTTGGACTACCGGATACAACTGATGCGGATATGATTTGCGTCCGTGTTGAAGAAATTGCCGCGTTGGATCCAGTGTGCTTGTTGGAAGTAGTGCACTCTCTCCACAAATATAAGGTACCTGAGATGCCACACACACCACTCAGCAAAAAAAAAAAAAAAAGTGTGTGTGTTGGGCTTTGAAACACCTTTCTCAGCTGATCAAACCGTGAAGTGAAACTTCATTCTGTTGAGTGAGGCTACAGCCGGCAGAATATTTGACCAAAACCAGCTCACCAATACTCAAATTCACTCACTGGCCACTTCATTATGCATACATACATACATTCATATGTATATATAAGTATATACACGCGTACAAGTAAAAACAAGACCCAATCGGATCACAATTTCAATTTTTCCGAAGAACAATCTGAGGTCTATAAGTAAGACGCCGCCCCACATAATTGCCTCCGTCAGTCATCCCTACAGAGGTGTCATATTGATCTAGAACTAATTTGCCAGAGACTAAACCACCCAGGAATAACTAACGCCATGTCAGAATTTGACACAATTGATCAAAATACTGTCGCGGAAACGAGTCGGCGGCTGAAAGCATCAACGACCTGTCTTGACTCAATCCCATCGGACTTTTTTTCCAAAAACGATTTGAGTGGCAGGAAATAATCAAGTGTCTTTTAATCCGCTCGATAATATCTTGAACTCAGACTGAGCTTTTTGATGCATTGCAATCAGGTTTTCTCACCTCATCACAGTACAAGCAGCAGTTTATATTAAAGTTTGGGGACTCGGGTCAGCGAGTGGAGCCCGGGAGTCAAAGCAAACATGGTGGAGCATTATTTAGCCGTTATGCTGCACAGAAGTAAAGTCAGCCCAATGTGCAATAAAAGCATAGCTGCCTTTCCTTGCCTTCCCTAAATAAGTTTTAATTTGTCCAATATTAATCTTCCTCCATAGAAATCGATCTGTCTTTTTGGGAGGGAAGGGGTGGGGGGGGTTACTTCTCCATGTCAACGCGTGAGGCTGTTGACGCCGCTGTGCTTTTCCTTACGCGTTCTCGCACACTTTTGTTTTCTTTCACGACAATCATCCCATCTGCACCAGGAGGCCGAGGTAACTTTATTTAGGAGGCGTGAAAGGTGCTCCGTCACATGAGCGATGGAGGGCAGCCGGGAAGAAGATCGATTCGACTCGTGCCCAGCGCAGTGACTAAGTGGTCCCTCTTTAATGAAGTGCCTCCAACGGTTGTTTTTTTTTTTTTTTTTTTTTTTTTTTTGTATGAGGGGAGGAGGGGGGAGTCCGAAAAGGGTTGACATTGATATTTGGATGAAAGTGAAGGGATGAAGAAACCTTCCTTCACTCCCGTTGGACTGATAATAGGCTGATAGATGTTCTCTATTTATTTAGTCTGTCCCTCTGTCTCACTATTGATCCATCCATTCATCTGTTTGTCTTTCTGTCTGTCTGTCCATCAAATTTTCCACCTGTCTCTGTCTAGCCAACCACCACGCTGTCAGTTTCCTTTTTAAATATATGCAACTCCCCATCCACCTGTTCATCTACCTGGCTATCTTATCTCTCATCTGTTGGTCCCTCGCTCCGTTCATCCTTCACCTGTCACTCATTTCATATCGTTCCATAGGCCAATCTGTCCTTTCTTTGTACCCAGTCTGATTTGGTTTTGTGATCGCTGCGCAATCAAGCGTGCAGTCCCGGGGCCGCCGTTGAACATTCATTCGTTGCATCTCAGGAAAGCAGCAAGGGGGGGGGGGTATTTTGTTAAGATGAGGGTTAAAAGTGTGAGGCAACGCTTGCTGCAGTTATCCACACCGGTGGCATTTTCCAATGGGAAATCTTGCCTGATTTGCCAGTCTTCTATTTGAACTCCACTTTTTTTTTTCTCCCAAAAAGACTTCATGGGGAGGTTTCTTGAACCAAGTGAAATGTTGATCAATCACATGCGTGCTTTGATGATGCGGAACAGAATTTTGGCATGACATTTGGCTCACTTGACAGTTCAAGCCGCTGCCTCACTTCTCTTGTGCTTTTTCTCTCATCAATAAGAAGTGACGCATTCCTGCAGGCTGTCAGTGGGGTTCCAGCAACAGGATTTCAAAACAAAATTGTTGTGGATGGAGCTTTCATCTGCACGGTAGTATGCAATACGATTCCCCAAGCCTTAATGTCTAACTCGCCTTTATCCAAATTCATGAATTCTAGCCCACATTCACTTTAACGTGACTCTATCCCAACATTTTGTCACATGAGGAGCGGAATTTGGACCCAGAGACGGACATGACACAAAAGTTGAAAAATACAAAGTACCTACAGAGAACACGGCCAGATGCAGAAGACACGGAAGAACATCAGGCCTATATGACATAATACAGGTGACATATAAAGGATGAAGCGTAAATCACAAACCCTCCCTTACCCCGATCACAAAATTGAATTTGAAGTCATTCCCAAAAACAAAGCAGTCAAACGGATACCGTATGATTATACAAAATCCCCTGGGATTAAAAACACGGCTAAAAATAAATCATCGGTCTGAGTTTTGTTCACAACAGCGATGCACCGTCGATTCATGTTCAGACTGGCAAGAAAAGAGACGATAATTGGATCCCCCCATCCCCCTCCCCTTTCCTGATGATGAATGTATTTGGTACCAAAGTAAGAAATCAAAAGACAGATTCGATATGGGGAAAACCAGTCATTGTCTCAGTTCTTGGGAGTCTCAAAAGAAGCACCTGATTCATCATCGTCTTTGCATAGATGAATAATCACACAAATCATGCCATGATGGATTACAACATAATGGTGATTTACGCTACTATTTGATAGTCTCTGAGGCAACATGAAAATAAAACAGGAATTGCGCTTGGGCCCTAAAGAGGGAATTGACTTCGATGAGAACCTATAGCAAATTATTTGTGCATTTTATCAACATCAATCAGTAAGCCGTGCTGGTGAAATGAGGTCTGGCGGCCTTGGGAATGCCTCGGGATACTTGTACTGTAAATATTTGTTTGTCTCATTAATGTAGACATCCACCTCTGTGCAGCCTCGGCCTAGAAATGTAGATCAGATTATTATTGTCTGATTCACAAACCATTTGTAAAGTTCTCATTGCACCTCAATGGTTTCTTGGGGATAATCGACTCAAATTTAACCCTTTCGGGGACAGCGGTTACGACAGTGGACCGTTAATCAGTATTTGTGCATGAAAGGATTAAAATGCATAGACTGGGTTGAGAGGTTTACATTCCAACAAATGATTCGACATTTCCAATACAATCTGCCGTTGAACCATTACTGTCAAACATACGGCCCGCGGGCCGGAACCGGCTCCCCGAGGAGGTTCAATCAGGGCCGCAGGATAATTTAAGTGAAAAAATGCATACAAGACATGGAATGAATATTTTTAATAAAATGCAATTTATGGATTATCCGATAGGGGGCACACTGTTTTCTCTTTAGTTTGTAAAGTGTAGCCAGGGATTAAATTTCGATTTTATATGCACATGTGTAAATGGTTTAAAAATTACTTTCTTTAAAAATCTTTTTTAATCTTAAAATTCATTAGTATATTTTTCAATACCAATTACTTGTTTTGTACCTTTGTACAATCAGTGGGATCAGTTGCAATGCATATACTGTATGTGAATGATCAAAGTAAATTGCACATTTGTCTAAGGTGTTTCATGAAATGTTTTGTAAAAGATATGTTCATTCAATTTCAACATTTTCCTAATGTTCTTTTGCTTCACTATAGCAAAACAAAGGAAAGACATGATATTTTGGTTATTTGTAGCAGAGTATGGTATAATTTTAATGGTCCGGCCCACTTGACATCTACTGAGGCCGTATGCGGCCCACAATCTGAAATGAGTTTGACGCCCCTGCTTTAAACCTTGGTGAACTGCATCGCTATGTGTAGGTTAACGATGGGCATGATGATTCAAAGCCTTTTGACCAGTTCAGGCTCCGATGTGGCTCTGAGAAAGCGTTACACAGCAAAGGTGCCAATGAGAATTTCTTGCCAAGTATCTTGAGGGGTCCCCCCCTGCCCCCCAGGACTGGCCTTTGGTAGATAGAGTAGTGCAGTAAAAACGCCTTTGGATGCCAAGTAGAAAATTGGCTTCTGTGTAATGTTATTGGGGCGCAAGCACAAAGGCAAAAAGCAATGCAAATATTCAAGTCTTTCCCTTCGAGACAGCCGGCAAAGACGAGAGAGCTACGCTTGCCTTGCCTATTAATTTTGCCAGACTTTCATCTGCGTTTGGCATTTTGACAAAAAGACTCTTGAAGCAATTGTTATGCAAATTCTAATCTGTATCTTTCCAAGCCGACATGTATGTGTTTTATCACATTTAATATTTGCACCGTTTTCTATGGACATGGAGTTTATCCTTGTCTCTGAGAGGATAGGGCTACCTTTTGTCTCAGTGACTCCTTAAGAACTCCAAACTTGTATCCACTTCTGACAAGCCACTCTAGAACATGACCTCCATTAATTTTTAAAATCACCCTTATCCGCCTTTCATCTGCCCATCTCAAAGATTGTGTGATCACCCTTTTATCTGCCCTTTCTCCGAGCCCCAATCCACAGCTCCGTTAAGCCGACTGTAGTGCAATTTTCTCAACATGAATATTTTATTTTAATGACAAATTGTTTTGTTTTGGCGGCCCGGTGGGCCAGTGGTTAGCGCATGGACCTCACGGTGCAGAGGCAACGGGTTCAATTCCAGCTCCGGCCTCTCCCCGGCCTGCGTGGGTTTCCTCCCACATTCCAAAAACACGCATGGCAGGCGGATTGAACATGCTAAATTGTTCCTCGGTGTAAGTGTGAGCATAAATGGTTGTTCGTCTCTGTGTGCCCTGCGATTGGCTAGCAACCGGTTCAGGGTGTCCCCTGCGTACTGCCCAAAGATAGGCTCCAGCAAACCCCCCCCCACCCCGCAACCCTTGTGAGGATAAAGTGGATCGAAAAATGAATGAATGAATGAATGAATGAATGTTTTGTTTTGAGGGGGCGGCCGGTTGGCTGTAAATATTACGACTACAAAAGGAAGATGGTCGACAAATAAAGTAACATCAACACAGAGGTGCCCGATTTTGAAACCAAGCAAAATGAAGGCATATCAGAAAGCGTTCGTTTATATGAGCAAAAGGGAGCGGGTCGGAGGCGTTAGCAAACTAAG